ATAATAGACATGAATTGAAAATCTTTATTGTAACAGATTGAATTTTGAGAATGTTTAACAATAAACTATTATAAAAACTTTTGCAATATAACAGTTTTTGAAAATTTTTCTCTGGTTACCCAAACAGTCTACTATATTGAATTTAGTTATACTACTATAATATCTTTTTCTGTGATAGTCAGAATACTAACTAGGATAATGTATTTATTTTTATTCCAAATAAAGATTTAATTTACAAATTTAGAACAAAAAAAATATAAACAATCATCTAATGCCCACCATTATTGTTATTTCTAATAAAAAAACCATCACAAGAAAATTGTTACTTTGTTTGATTATATAAAAATAGTGAAATAGATTTATCATCTTAGAATTAATAATATCAATATACAAATTCTCTGTATCATGAACTAGGAATTGGCACCGTTAACTGTTTAACTGTGGTTAACCAGTTAATCCTTTAATTGCAGTTAACTGGTTAATTGTTTTTGATTAACCAGTTAACCACCATTTATTAATTTTTTTTATATATATTACAGTCAGATTTTTTGTTACAATGGATTTGAGTATTATCCCCTTATTAATTAAAATGTTTGTCATAATAATAACGGATTCTATAATAATAATAATAAATTTGTTCCACGGATTTTTGATGGGAGTCTTTCTATATGGCTTAACAGATTCACGTGACATATAAATGTCCAAATTACCAAAATTGATAGGAAAACTGGAATTCCCCCTTTGATGAAATTGAAAATTCAAGAAATACAGTTGAAGAGATTTCAAATGGGGAAAAATGATGGTAATAATATAATAATTGTTGAGAGTAACACTGTGTCTAAAGTTTCAATGAAAGATGCCATAATTTTCTTCAACAGGTGATTTAGAAATAGATTATAAAGAATTTAAAGCATTTAAACCATTGAAAAAAGTGAAATTATTAGATAATGAAAAACTAATACAACCAATTATTACATCTTATTTCAACAAATAATTTTCATTTCCATATGTATTATTCATTTATTCATTTATTTATTTTATTAATTTATCACACTATATCAAACCTCTCTATAACAAACATTAAGTAAATTTCTCTATAATGAATTTCCCTTTTGTCACCCAGCTCCGATTCAATTTTTTATAATTAATTTCTCTCTATAATGAACAGAGCAGAAAAATACATATAATGGACAGAGGGTTCAGTATAGAGAGAGAGCTTTGTATTATTAAAAAAATTTGTTGACACCAATTTTGCCACTGCGGATTTCTTGTCATAATAATAATAATAAATAATAATAATGGAATTTTTTTGGCCGGAACCATGAATCCACTGTGGTGAGGTTTGACTGTAACCATTTAGCATCTATTAAGTCATAATAATAAAATTCAACAAGCACGTGATTATTTTGTAAGTAATTTACCAGTTAAAAAATTCCACATGACTAAATTAACCAGTTAACCATTTCTAAAATTAATCAGTTAACTGGTTAACTCTTAATTTTAGTGGTTAATTAACTGTCAAAGAATTTTTGTGCAGTGCCAACCTCTAGGAAGGTGATGGTTATTAAGAGATAATTAATTTACAGGTTTTTTTTTCTTAAATGAATAAATAATAATTCAGTATGTTATTCTTTTTAATTTAATAAAATATTAGAATTTCCTTCTCAATTTTTAACTGATAGGTTAGATTTCAATATTTTGTTGACAAGTATCAACAACTTTTTTATTTTTGATATTTTTAATTATTTCAATATGGATGTTTTCATCCATAATTGTTATTAAAATTTAATTATGATAAATAAAAGTGTTATATAATTTTTTTGCGTTTGATTCATAAATGCTAAGAATTGTTTCATTAATTTTAATCCAAGATTCAAGTCTTGATTTGGCTTGTTTCAAATATTCTTCATGAGAAAATTCTTTGATCTGTTTCATCACATGTTGAAAATATATGAACTCCATAATTTAGGTTATAATCAGCGTGTTTTAAGTTCCTTATAGTTAATATATTCCTTGGAATTAAGATATTATTTAAATTAGTAAAAAAGGATTGATTGAATTCGATAAACACAAGTTGTCCACTTCAGGGTTGGCAAATTGACTGGTCCATTGAGAACAGATGGTCCATTGCCATTAATAAAATACTAAATATGGTTAACAATGGACCATCAATGGACTGCACATTTGCCAACCCTGGTCCACTTGTATCTGTAGCAATTGCAGTTTGTATTTTTATTGTAATTCCATATTGTATATTTTCTATAATTTCTCCAATTACTAATATAATTACTACCATATCATAATCATTTTGATAGTTGTTATATCCTGTTTTATCTAATTCACCACAATTTGTAACAATGTGTGGTTTATATAAAGAATTTCTAATATTATTTAAATCAGCTTTTTGTTCTTTCCATACTGTTGTATGACCCATTGATGATAAACAAATTAAAGGAATTTTTGTTAATAAATTTGGATTATATGATTGATTATTGATTGCTATTAATGAACATATTTGATTTCTTTGTCCTTCAACAATAGAATCATATAAAGAACTATTAGGACACCATACAGTTATCAATGCTTCTCTAGATTGAATCTTAGATTGAATATGATAATCACACACACGTACTTTAAAGAATGAAACAACGGAACGTACACATTTAAAATCTATTAAATCTAATTGTTCATTAATCTTTCATTTAAATTTTCTGGAATATATTTTTCAAGAATGGGTAATATCTTTTTTTGTAACTGTTCTGTAAATTTTCTCTGAACTAATTTTTCGCCTTCTTCATTACGTATGATATACATTCCATCTTTAGTTGTTTCATGATATAATAATGGGTATTTTTGCATCACTATAATAAAGACTAGTGCCATAATCCAAAAAAGGAAAAAGTATGGTTGCAAAAGTGGTTGCAAAGGTAATTGCAACCACTTTTTATATGCCGTAAATACAATTATTACCATCCTCATAATTTACAGCACTAGTCTTTACATTATAACATCAATTGCAGCAATATATCTACCATCTGGTGTAAGACTATTTAATAAAGCAAAGGGTTTGGATTTTCCAAATCCAAGTTTAGAATTCCAATCAGCTAATTTAGTAGAATTTCCAGATAATTTTAAATAAATAGAATTTGCTGCATCTAATACAGATGTTTTTCCAACAGATTCTCTATAAATCCTTGCATCACATGTTTCAAGTTTGCAGCCTATTGTTATTTTAGACCTATTTATAGCTCTTTGTAGTGGTTGATCAATATATGTGTTAATCTTATATAATCCATCAGTTAATTCAAGTAAAAATTTGGATTGAGTTGATATGCTTGATACACAAAGAACAATAGGCCACAATGGTGAAGCATCATCTTCCATAATCAATTTTATAGAAGATGTTGATTGTAGAAGAGATAATGCTGTGGTGAAACTAAATAAATATGTATGTGTGAATTTTGAATTGTGAACTAGAGTAATTTAATTTATTAAACTAGAGTAACGACAAGTAGTGATTCTTATGATAAACACACTTACCTGCTTCCTTTAGATTCAGATTCTTGTTTATTTCTTTTGGTGTCTCTAAAAAATAAAATTAGAGTAACGACAAGTGGCAGGCGATAACCACCACCACCATCCTTGAAACACTTATCCAACTGTTCCAGATATATCATTTCTATTTCTTTTTTTTGAATCTTTGAATCTGTTTGATGACATCATTAAAAGAAAAGAAGTTTGTGATTTGATCGACGCGTACACATTAATTATTTATCCTATTTTTTTTTTTTTTGGTAGGACAGACATGAATTGATTGATTTTTTTTTTTTTGGAAAACAAAAAACAAAATTTTTTGACAGAGTCCAAGGTGACAAAACGTGAGTGTTGTTGTTTGGTTTGGGTCTCCTAAAGAATACGTGTTAATTACTAACCAGAGGTACTTTTTTTTATTTGTATTGATATTTTTATTTTAGCTTATAAATATTTTAATTGGAATCAAAAC